GGCCCACATTTTTACTAGTCTGGATACTCCTCCCATTGACATAAATTACAATTAATTTATGACTTATAAAGTGATCTTCAAGATCATTTGCTGTGGCCGACCCAGTGATAAGCCTCTCTCTCCAAACTTGGCATTTCAGGAATTACATCCATATTTGAAGGCTTTTCAGCTGGGTGAGACCTGCCAGACTTTGTTCTCTACTAACCTGCTCTTTGAAAATCCAAGGGTAACCTTTACACCTCAAGAAGGTAATATGATATCTTTACATTTTTTTAATGTGTTTCAAATATATTTGAAAAGTTTCAACTCAAATATGGGTTATCCTTTGCACTACTCTTCACTGCTCCACAAATTCCTCTTTTAATAGGCAGTGCAAAGGCAACTTTCAAATCAACCCCTATTTCAATTATCTCAACTTCCAAAAAGATATGTTCAAGTCAGTGAGGTCTTACTGTACATAAATCTCTAAAAGAAAACACTTCTGATCAGGTGTCAGGAGTCAAAATATTGTCCACTACTTCTTTCCATTCGAGAAAACTAGGACTAACGAAAAGAAGTTAAAGGAAGATAGATTTCAGACCAAAATATAAGAATTTCCTAGCCATTAAAATTGTCTGAAAATGGAACACATTGTCTCAGAAGGAAGCAAATTCCTTGCCTTAGAGATATTCAAGCAAGGTTAGGTAAACTTGTCAGAGATTCACCCATCAGACAAGTGAGCTGGACTAGAAGATAGACAGGCAGGAGACCTTTCCAGAAATGGGTGCTGCATATATGCCTGGTAAGTTAAGTTGTGCGCGTGTATACACACACACATACACACACACACACACACACACACACACACACACACACACACACACACACACACACACATACTTCCTCTTTCCTCAGTTAGCCCAGAGCAAAGTTCCTTCCTCTGGCAGCCACCAAAAACCATGTCTTGAATCTAAAAGAAAAAGATCATCGATCTAATTATCCTGTCAGATTCCATCCATTCTTTTGGTTTGACCCTTATACAGTATCAGCAGAATGCAGATTTTGCTCATCATTCCGGTTTCTATGAATCCCATCAGACAAAGCAAATGAGAATATCTTTAAACTACAGTCACTTTTCCCCCCGACAATTCACAAACCCAACTGTCCATGAACATTTTCTTTTAAAACCAAGGGACCTGCTCAGTCCTATATTGAATATATAAGGTGAACAGGGAAAAGTGTCAACTGCTTTCTAAAGCATCTGACCCTCACCCCAGCTCCCTCCCTCTGACAAGTCCTCTCCCTTAAGCGTGAACCAGCACTGCAGCCTACTCAGCACAAAGGGAAGATATAGAACCATTGATTCCTTGTGATTTTCTTCTTGGTATGAAATCTTTAAAGCTGAAATCAGGGCAATTGATCCCAAACAGGCTTCCCAAATCCTTCTATGGCAAGTGGAGCTACTGGGAAAAAGTCACTCTGCCTCATTAAGAACCAAACAAAACAAAGCCCCACCTAATTTACTTTGACAAGCATTTTAAAGACACATTCATTCACCACAGGCAGCTACATATCAAATACACTGTGCAACCTGAATAAGCTGTCATGGTCATTAGGCCTCTCTTAAGATAACATCTGACCCTTATCCTCAGACCTTTGTACTTGAGCAACATATACCAGGCAGCATTACAGCAACATTCTCATTAGGATTTGGCCTATGGGGCCTGAGAAATCAGTTTTCCCCAAGCTTCTGTCACAGAGACTCACGGACTGACGTACAAAGCCTCCAAAAGCAATCTAACAAAGGTGGGTGGCTGGATGGGGGAATCTGACTCTGATAGGACTGAGAGAGAGATGGCTTGTTTGTAACACACAACTTTATAAACAGAACCCCAGAAAGTAGAAGGGACAGATACCTTGTGGACTGTTGGAAGAACACTTTGTAACCTATAAAGTACTATGTATATAAGAGCTATTTTTTAAGACAAAAGAAAATGTATAGGAAATGGTCACACCTAGTATTTAAAAAGGAAAAAATTAACCGGTTTTATTTTTTGTTTAAGAAAGACAGTTGGGATAATGCAGGAATATTTGAGAATTTGCTGAGCAAATAGAGAGAGTTGCTTTCCACTCTATTTTGGAAAAGCAAAATGAACAAACACAAACCCAGCTTTAGATTTCATCAGGTGAGTTCCCTTGGGTTCAGTTCACCAGTTCAATTCAATTCAACTTTGAGCATGTATCTATTACTAGATTTTGAGGATATAAAGGTGAAAATCAAATAGTCCCTGTCCTTAAGGAATTTATACTTACTGGGGAAAATATAACTCCAGAAATAGGTGTAATAGATGGTAATTTGAGATTTCCTTAGAAGCAGAGGAATATAATTTAAGACAACCTTAAGCTACCCCCCAAAAGCAGCACAAAAATAGCAAAATCCTCTAGAGATAAGGACATTGGGGGAAATAACTCCCTAATACACTACAAACAGAGCCATATAGCAATGGGCAATGAATCACAGCCCTGACCAAATCTCTGGAGCCAGCATCTCTTCTACTAGGGCTAAAGACACCTAAAAAGAAAAGAATGACCTCTCAGTACCAAAAATATTTGCACCTATTGTATTTGTAATAGCAAAAATCTGTAAACAGCCTGTATCAGGTAATGCATCCCAAGGAGCATGTATGGGGAATGGGGCTCCAAGGGTAAGCAGGCTCCTCTACTCCAAAGAGGCTTAAGATGGTGGCAGGAGGCCTAGTCAGACAGGATCAGCCCCCTTGGTGAACCTTAAAATGGGAATGACTCCACTCTCTCTCTTCCTTATGGCAGTTCTCCAAAGTAGCAAGAAACTCCCTAGGCTTCTTGTGAGGGGTGAGGGAAGGGGCTGCCCCACCTCCCTAGCCTGGCATACATGAAAAACTCTTCACACATGGCATCTAGTGCATGAACTTGCTAGGCAAGCCTCAGCCTGGGCCTTGCATTTTTGGGTTTTCTTGCCTGACCAGAGGTGACCAAACAGCAATCCTGGCACATGTGTCCACCCTTAAAAGCAGCCTTATACATTCAAGAGGTCAGAAGTTTCTGGATTTCTCAGATAGGGACCGATGCATGAGGGCAAGTGCCCCCTCCATATCTGCAAGGGCTCTTCTTGGAAAAGACCCCAAAAGGTGGGTCAGCTATAGCCCCAGCCTGGCTTGTCAGAGGAGTGGGACCTGGAGGGGCATGCTTGGACAGTACGGAGCCATGGTGAAATGCAATGCCACTCGGGTAGTCCTACATCACCTCCCGAAGTATCTAACAAAAGTTATAAGTTCTAGTGTTGCTGGGTGGGTGCTTCTGGGTCTTTGGCAGTTTATTTCTTTTACACAGAAGAAATGCTAAACAACCTTTTGATGACTGATTTACATTGTACATGGAGTACTTCTCTACTCCCCCACTTGGGGAAAGCCGAAGCCTGTGCCTTAAGTCATTTCCCCTAGAGTGTAAGAAAAGAGAACTTCTCTTGCAACCTGTTCAGAGGTATCGGGATTCTGAGATCGGTTTAAGCCAAGATTATGGGAATCTCTCCTATAATTTAATGGTGTAGTGTGTTTTCTAAGGTTATTATGATAATGACATAAGGATAACACAGTGGGATAACCAAGGTCTTGACAGGGGCGCTGACATTTAGAGGGCCCTGACAGAACGTACACTCCTTCAGTGGCTTAAAAACAACCAAGAATAATTAGTTAAGATGGGAGGCTGCTCCATGTGCTCATTCTCCAGGCAAGCTCATTGACAGCTTGGCTCTAGGCCAGTCTCTTTCTCTCCTTCCCAGAGCAGCAGCTTTAAGGTGTCCTGGGGTCTCCCTCCCTCCAAATGAATCCATTTGAAAAAGATGATTTGAGGGAATGGGTTTTATGGTACATGCCCCAGGCAGAAAATTGATCATAGTTGTTTTGAGATTTAGCATCTCAGCTCTCCTTAATCAGCCAAAGGTGTTGGAACTTCTTTTAATGATTTTCTAAGAAATGAGGACCAAAGTCTTTACATCTAAAGACTCTTTCATTGTCAGACTGTCTTAATTTCTCTTAAACCAAGTAACCAAGTTTTGATACTTACCACTGTGTAATGCATTACAAAGGGAACATGACCCCAGTGACAGGGCCTCCAAAATAATTCTGAAAGAGTAGTGCAGTGCTCAGTGTTTAATTCTAAAAATATCATCTTTTTGTTTCAAAATACAACCCAGGTTTCTCTCTTCAGCATTCACTTTAAGGACTTTTGTAACCCTTTGGTTGCCTCTGAGGTTGGATCTATAGTACTATATGTGTTAGTCAATTAACATTTATTAAGCACCTACTATGTGAAAGGCACTGTACAAAGTACTGGGTACACAAATTCAAGGAAAAAGAAAAACAGTGCCTGCCCTCAAGGAGCTTATATTCTAAAGAAGGGAAAATTACAAAAGGGGAGCTGAAAGGCAAGGATGAGGGAAGGAGAACATGTTCACTGAGGGACACGAGGACTAAGTTTGGAGAAGGAGAGATGGCTGGTCTGGGCCCTTTCCCAAAAGGGAGGGTCCAGGAAGAACTTTTTCATATAATAATTAGATCGCCCACTGGTAAGTTCTTCTCAGAACCTCCATTTTGGAGATTGGTCCCAAACCAGCTATCCCTTATTATCTGGACTATCCACCATGCCTCCTGACTCTACTCCTGTCTTCCAGTGGTAAATTCTTCCTATTATTATATGGGTGTTTGGTCAAAAGATAAGCTACAAGATGTTCTATGAGGAAATCAAAGTCTACATAATTTTCTCTGTCTTAAGGATAATGTATAGAAATTACAATCCCTTTTTCACCTTGGCCCACTTTGTTCTGAACACAGCTGAATTCCCCTCACACAATGGACGATGCTCACCTTCGCTCTCTTCTACTATATCTAACATTCATTAGTCTGTGACTCACGTCTCTAACTGGGGACATAAACAGATTATGGATGCGTTATATAATAAGGAAGGCTCCTAGCCAGCCCACTCACCACATTTGTCCTTTCTGCGCTCTTGCCCCAAGCCACAGGGTTCTGTAGGGTGTCCAGATGTTCTAGGGGACTTTTTTGCCACTTCAAAATCCATTCCCGACAAACGAAGATGGAACTGCTCACGGTGAACTGTTTTCCGAAGGGTGCGGATAGCTTTACGTAATCTCTTCTCTGTCTTCTTCAGGACACAGCTCAGATCACAAGATGCTATAGAATCAAGAGTAAGAGGTAAGGAGCAACATGGAAAGGGCACAGGAGCCACAACACCCAGCAGCATCCAGTTTGAAATGCCAACATCCCAAACTAAAATATTAGATAGAGGAGGGAAAAGTCTTCATTGTGGGAAAGTGGTACTGGCAGACGAGGCAGCATTCAAATGAAACAGAAATTTGGCAATCACAAAATGTCAACTTTGGGTTCTTGTAAGGAAGGCAAAATCCTTCTGCTTCCAAACCAAATCAATGTAGCTTGGAGGCAAAAAAAAAAAAGAAAAAAGAAAAAGGAGATACTTCATTATTTTTACTTTTTTGTAAAGAAAGCTGAAAAGTGAAAGATGAAGAAATAAGAAACAAGCTGGGAGAAGCCTTGATTGCACCTGGGGAAACTTCAAACCAACCTGTCACCTCCTGTTGGTTTGCTTCAAGCTCAAAGTCAACACTGATAAACATTTCTTTGGTCATGGTTGGTCTGCCAAAGGCCCCAGGGACTTGCTTGCCAGAGCCACATGTAAGGTTTACATAGTGGAAGCCCTCTTTTACTGAGCTGTACTTCTCTGCATGAAAAAAACAGAATTACAGGAAGCCAAATTCTACCAAAATCAACAGAACATTCACTATGGTGCCAATAAACATTTTGTTATGAAAGCATTTAAGGGATCAAATGATAAAATCCAGACATCAAGAGATTACAATACATATAAATGCTTTGCTCACACCTAAAAGAGACAGAGCCTCCTGGATCAGATCATTTTTAAATTGATTCATCCTCCTGAGAAGTCACTCCATTGACAAAAAAAGGTTTTTCCTACTGATCAGAAATCTAAATGTGAAAACAGTACCAGTGCTCTAGAGTATCTGCCAATTCCCTGGAATTCAGCTTGTTATCACAACTGCTTGTGTGCAAATAAATGATAATAACTTACATTTACATGTGTTTTGAGGTTTACAAAGTGCCTGTCTCACCACTCTGTGAAACAGGCAGTGAAAGTACTATTATTCCCACTTTATTGTTGAGGAAACAAAGGCCCAGGGAAGTTTAGTGACTTGCCTAAACTCACAAAACTAATCAATGGCCCCACCAGGATTTGCACCTAGGTTCTCCAATTCCCAACACAGGGTCTTTGGGTCCCACTAGCCCTTGCTGTTTCTACCTTAGGATCCCCAAAGATCTTCCCTCCCATGAAACGGAGGAAGGGGTAGCTAGCTAGTCTGACTCGGACCAGCCAAAGCCAGGACCTGGAGGCCACTCTCTCTCCAAGAAAAGACACAACTGGAGAATTACACACTGTATTCTTCCTTAATCTTTTTTCTTTTAGCTCCAAATCCTGCTTCATTTACTTAGAAGTAACTACTTTACTTTAAATGATTCGTGCTTAAAATTGCACCAAGACCTTTGACACAGCCTTAACTTTGTTTTGTTTGTTTTTTGCTAGGCAATGGGGTTAAGTGACTTGCCCAGGGTCACACAGCTACTAAGTGTCAAATGTCTGAGGCCAGATTTGAACTCGGGTCCTCTTGACTCCAAGGCCAGAGCTCTATCCACTGTGCCACCTAACTGCCCCTGGCCTTAGCTTTGTAAAAAGAACCTCTGGAGAAATTATGATCTGATCCAAAATGTCGTCACCCAATTGAAGATCACTATCCTTAAACCAAGCTGAATTCAAGCACAAGAGTATCTTCAGATGGGCCTTTTGCTATATCTAAATCTCCAATTTAGTTTCCCCAAACATGTAGGTGAGCTCCAAATGTCAGATACCCTGCTCCATGGAGACATGTCCATCCATACCTGGTATTGTTGATGGCAGGCCCTCCGGAAGCAGCTCAGCTTTTCTCAAACTACATTTGCCTTCATTCAGCCTAAAGGTGACATTTGTCCTGACTATGGTGACATCTTCAGAAAGAAATAGTGAGAGATGTTACCCTCAAAGGCAAAGGAATGAAAAGACCAGATAACACTGAGAAAGGGCATGTTACACATTTTTAATACTTTAAAAACATCAGACTTCTGCATTTGCTATCTTATCCTTAGCCTGAGAAAAAGCTAAACCTCTTAGTTGTTGATTTAACACCCAAACTGGATTATTAGACACCAGAATCCTGTTGATAAGAGCCAGAAAAAGTCTGCTTGTAAAGCTATACATATCTCTCCACTTCAAAAAAAAATCCAGAGAAAATTGTTTCTTGAAGGACTGAACTTTATAGAGAAGCGTCTGCTGGAACAAAATAAATGCATCAACAAATTTTCCAAAGAAAGAAAGATAATCCAAAGTTCAAATATGACAGAAAAAGTACTGGAAAAGCTACAAATGAGAAAAGCATCTTGTAACTTTCTGAAAAGTCAGGATGTCTTCACAGTCCCAATTAGAACAGGGTCTGTAGAAGTCAACAAGACTTCTCTGACATTTGAAAAAAAAAATGAACCCTCTAAAGGCAAAAGACAAAACAGAAATTTCACAAGCCATTCCCTTGCAGAAAAGCATAAAAAAACCAGACAGACCATTTTTAAAGTGCAGGCCTATGTGTATCAGACGGGAAAGGACCAGGTCAACATGCCCATTGCCTTCCCATGGCTTTGGCACAGAGAGAGAAGATGGTTTCATAATTTAAGAGCAAGGCTGATGTTACTGGAACTAAACGTACTGAACTCAGTCCACCTCTAAGGGTGGACATGAGTCAGGTGACTGGGTTCCCTCTAGTTCCCATATGTCCATGTTCTGGGAAAGGGCAGGGTTTTAGGCAGACTTCCTGCGCTTTCAGGATAGGTCTCCAAGGTCCAGATGCTATTTAAATTGCCTGGACTGCTTTGCAAGCATGCTTACCTGCTCCCACAAGAGCTCTTGAGCAATATGGGGAGTGAGGGACAATTGTTTACATGACTTCTCAGGCTATACAAGCTTGTAAGTGCATACTCAAAGTTGACAGAGGTCAATCAATCAATCAGCAAGTACTGATTAAGCACCCCCCATGTGCCAGCACAGGGCGAAGGGGCAAGGGTACACATATTACAATAGAACGGTCCAAGCTTACACTGAATAGGAGCGGGGGGCAGCATGAGCACATAAGCTTGTCTAAAATAACTGCAAGGCAATTCCAGAGGGAGGCATGTGGGCCTGGTGGGACCAGAAGAGCCCTTGTGCAGGAACTGGTGTTTGAGCTAAGCTTAAAGAAACTAGGGGTTCTAAGAGGCAGAGGCAAGGAGGGAGGGTCCTCCAGGCAAGAGGGAAAGCCTGTGCAAAGGCCTGGCGAGAGGGCATGAGAATGTCATGAATAAGGAAGGGCAAAAAGGTCAGCTTGGCTGGGCCACAGACCGCGTTGGGAGAAGGGATGGCTGAGGCTGGAAGGGTAGGCTGGGACCATATGGTAAAAGTTTTAAAAGCCAGACCGGGTCTGGGAAATTCCATTACTGTCTCTTTCTGAGTTGTGCCAATTTCTGTGAGCCTCTGCGTGTGCTAGGGCACACGTGTTCCCTGTGTACTCACCAGTTTCTCTGGGGGTTTGTAGGAAGTCCTGATCACTAACTGAGAAGTTTCTGTAAACTGTCAGCTGTTACTCCATGTGATAAGGCCAGAAATTTAAGGCATGGTGTGGGTTAAAAGCATTTAGTATCTGAGGGCTCAATAGGTTGAAGACCACAGGCAAGGGAAAATTATAAAATGTTCTTTTTGTGCAGGAAAGTTTCTAAGGGGAAAAAAATCCTGAATTTGTAGAATGCTTTCTGACTTACAAAATATTTATACCTATTATCCCAATTGATCCTCATAGCAAGCATATTAAGTAGATAAGGCAGGGATTATTATTATTAATTATCATTGTTATTATTATTATTATTATTATTATTATTATATTATTATTATTCTCATTTTACAGATAAAATGTGGTCAACTCACAACAACATGGCCCTGTCAGCCTACCTGGAAAATACTGAGCACTGTTATAGAATGTGCGGCTTTGGTAATTACCCAATAAAGCAGAATCATTAGATTTATGTAGTCGACTCCTGAGATGAGAAGAGGCACCACAGGTGACAGAGTAGGCATCTTGATATCCTAACAAGCAGAACACAGAATTCAACAATTACACATAAGGACACATCACACATAGGTAACACAGCTAAAATCCCTACCTACAGAAACTAAAATCATTCTGGCCTTTGCTATCTATGTCCTAAAGTAAAAGAGGTTTATTTAGACAAGATGCCAAGAAAGTTCCATGTTTAAAAAAAAAAGCACTTTGGTTAGAGTGGTCTATTTCTGCAGCAGGTATCTACTTATCTCTGCCTCAGGTAAAGCTGCCTTGGGGTTGGGGGTGGGGGTGAGGCAGACCTGATCACTCACCTGGAGAGAGGTGGACATCTGAGGGACAGTTTAGGAAGCAGTTATCCACTCCACCACTCTTAGTACAGCTCATGAACACTTTGGGGGACATGTTACCCGGCTGGAATCCCTTTACTTCTAAACAAGACAAAACACAAATATGTATGGAAACAGAAAACCACTTCTACAGTTGAAAATGATGGCAGACAAGACAAAAACATGAACATGTGAAAGCACATTCCATCTAATGCTCTGGTCAGGGAAGAAGAAGAAGCCAGAAGAAACCAGAGGCATACGCTCCATTTCACACCCCAGGACAACAGCCCTAGGTGGGCTATTTTTCATACAGAGAAGCCCCATAGAAAACAGAAGCACACACCTGACAGAAACACAGGAGAGTGTACCAGAGATCCTACAAAGTATCTCCTGTTTCTCAACCATTTTTAAGCAACGGATGGCGTATGAAGCACGAAAGGCATGGAAGATGTGGCAACCTACTCTACACAGCTGTAGGATCAAGACTTGTGAAAATGCCCACTGCTGCACCACCTTCTAGTCAAACAGTCAGAGCCTGTGGATGCAGGAAGCACGAGCAGTGGGCCTTACCCATGCAGTCCTTCTTGTTCCAGTGGAGCTGGTGACCTGCAAGGCACTGGCACTCATAACTTCCCATGGTGTTCACGCAGGTCTGCTGGCAGCCTCCATTACTGATGCTACACTCATTAGTGTCTGAGGAAGAAAATCAGCTTTGGTGAATGGACTTCATACCCAGAGTTAGAAGGCAAAAGACTTCCTCTCACTCTACGGAAAATCTCCCTAATACTGAGAACTGTCCAAAGGTGGAAACAGTCACCTCACAAAATGGCAAGCAATGGCTCATTGGTGGCTATGCAGGGATACTGTAGATGAGATAATTGATCTCATACGGTTTGGGCCAGATGATTTCCAAGGTCCTTTTCAACTCAGAGATTCTATGATTCAGTTACATATCATCTTTACCAGAGGTAGGAAACCTGCAGCCTTGAGGCCACATGTGGTCCTCTAGATCCTCAATGATGGCCCTTTGACTGAATCCAAACTTCACATGTGGCCTGGAGGCCACAGGCCCCCTACTCCTGATCTTTACCCTTTGTGATCAGAAACAAGTGAATTACATGATATAAATGTTAATAACAGCTTGCATTTACATAATGCTTTACAGCAGAGGCCTGGGCCCTATGTAGCCTACAACACTCCCAAATGCAGCCCAAACCAGATTAAAATGCAACTGGAAAATACTTAACAAAATAGATTAAAATACAATAAAACACAGATAATATTACATCTTAAAACCTAAGTCACTATGTGGCCCTCAGGGATCCTTATGTACAGATTAATGGCCCCCATTTCTAGTTGAGTTTAACCTGATCGCTTTAACATATACAAAGTCTTCTTCTCACAACAACAACCCTGTAAGATAGATGGTGCAAGTATTATTATCTCCATTCTAGAGATGAAGAAGCGACTGACCCAACTCTGCACAGCATGTGTATCCCCAGACGCACCCCAGATCTTCTGACTCTTACTCCAGCGCTTTTCCCACCACTGCATGCTGCTTCCCAAATAAGATTTTAAAAGGAAACAGAATTGCTCATTTTCTGTAGGAAACATGCTTGGTATTAACTTATCCCTTCACCTGTTAGTCATTCATTTGGATTCCTGGATTTAATGGGACTGGCACGAATTTCACTAGTGGGTTGATTCACTAACATTTGTAATCAAACCAGTTCCTCTCTTGCTTCCTATGTTTGTTTCTCTCTCACACACTCACACACATATATTTTTTTTCCCTTCACATACCTTTAACGCATGAGAAAAAATAGGCATCATCTTTCCTAGAATGACAGACTATAAAAGGGAGGGAGGGAGAAGGGAAATGGAGCCACCCCAGGGAACGGGACTCTGGGGATACTGGGCCTCAGCACTTGGGCATAAGGAGCTTCCTCACTGCTCCCAGTCCTATGGTGGTACATGACTGAAAGCACTTGGTACTTTGAAGCTCCCACACAGACCCCTTATTGGTTGCAGACTGGGAAGAACAGGTGACTTGTTAGTTACTTTAATAGGGTGACCCTGGCCTCAATGCTTTCTTTCTCTTCTGGCTTTACTTGAATAGGGACTGTTTTGAGCACCTCTCATAAGGGTTGGGAGAGAGATGGTTTGTCTTATCCCTTACCCTAGCTACCATGAGGCTAGGGGCACATGGCAGATAAAGCACAGGTGTGTCTAAACCCAAGTCTGGGGCTGCATCTTTTGCAATTGAATGGATGTCTTGCTATATAGGCTTGAAGATGACTTTGTGAGTTCAAGGGGCCCAGAGGTCCTATGTCCTTTTGGCCAGAGCTGACTGATGGATGGCAAGGAGAGGAGTCCCTGATAACTACTCCAGTGTTCTAGGAAAAGATGACCACCAATTGGACCACCAATTAATTGCTTAACTTGTTTCATCAGCTGTGATGTGGGAGCTGCTAGACAGTGAAGAAGATGAAATGTAAAATGTTTATTGAGTAATCCTCCAAAATTCTATATATTCCACTGAGGCTTAAGTATTAGCCCCCTGGTGAAGTTTAAATTAAGTTACAAAATCCTGTTTTAAGCCTCTCAGGGTAGGCTGAGTCTTTTGTGTCTTTTAGCACTCTTTTTGTGTACTAGAAATAAATACCTGTCCCATATCTGATCCATATTGTACACAAATACCTTTCTAACCCCCACTTTGGGGAGACCCTGAACATGAACCACAGCCTAACCTGTAAATGATTTTTCTCTAGGGTGCTGGGGTGGGAGTTTTACTAGCCAAAGAGAGTGAGAAAATGAAACCTAATCCCTCCTCTCATTAGAGGCATGATGAGCTCCAAGACTGAGCCAGGTATAAACTACATGCATGGTTCCAGAATAAAGAGACTCCTCAGGAAAAGCAGTGAATGGCGTGTCCCAGCCCTTGTGGGCCCAGAACCAGTCCCTAAATGTTACACTTGACTTGATTCACATCAGTCAGTGGCAAAGACAGAAGAACCCACATCTTTCTGGCATCCATCCCAAATCCAAAAAGGAAAACAGGACAGAATATGACTTCTTCCCCACCCCACCCCCAAAACCAAATATCAACATTTGGTTGATGCCTCAGTACAAGTTCTGTGATGTACTAGAAAGGCATTCCGTTTTTAACCCCACTAAGAGTAAGCTAAAGGATTACTTAATACAGGCCAAGACTGGGATCCAAAGCATCCCATTTTTGGCTTGATATATTAAAACAGGGGAGAACAAGTCTCAACCAATTTTTCAATCAAGGAATAGATCTTAGACCCACAAACGGCCTCTACCTATACAAGAACTGTGTTTTGATAGGCCAAGGAAACTTGATTAAGCCCAAAGAATCATCTATAAATTATCAAGCGAGCTGAAAAGGGAGGAATTCCAGAAAGTGGAGTGTGTGGTTTTCCAGCACATTCCTAAGGAAGAATCTCCTGGAAGGAAGTAAGAGCCCTTGGCTCCAGCCTCTGCTAGAGCTTTCCCTTAGGCTCCTCCTTTTGACCAGAGGGGACTTTCCAGTTCCAAAGGTCCAGAGGAAGTTGTACTTCCATCTTCTCATCAGTGCCCTAAGCAGCATCCCTGGGTTAGCCAGCAGCGGGGTCTGGATCCTGTATCATCGGGACTCACAGTTCAACAAGGAGCCCAGCAAAGAAACGGTGTCCCACCAACAGAATAAAGGCCTTCCAGGAACTGTGATTATGCCTGTGCCATCTGTGCTCACTTTCCCCTGGATTCTGGATGAACTTGCAGGACTGTGCATTGCAGACTCGGAGGAATGTTTGGTACCAAGAGTACCTTACTGAAATATTCATTTCTAAAAAGTTACTAAAGACTGGCTGGCTAAATGATTCTCAGTTTATAATCTTGGGGGAAGCATAGGGGTGAGGTCTCAAGCCGATGGCAATAGAGAAAGCCACTTCATTGCTCCTCGGGGGCACCAGACTTATCAGCGGAATCAGATTTGGGATAAGGATCCTCAAGCTTATGTGAGCTACCGGGAACGAAGCGCTGTTGGACTCATTTTAGTGAACATCTGCTTTCCTTTTCACAGAGCATGAGGAAGCAGGCTTACAACTGCAGTCGTAAAAATTCAAGTTATACATTGGCAAGAATTATCTGTCCATGAGGGTCATGAGAGGTGAGAACACCTCTCATGGTCACATTCGGCCCAAATACTGACTCATAGCATTAGGACCTCTGACTCAACAGCAAGAATGTGAGCAGACCAGGGTTGCAGCTCAGCTAGAGGTTTCCTCTCTTCTTTTCTGGGGTTCAAAACTCTAGCTTTAGGCTGATGAGTTCTGCAAGATGCAAAGCCTCTTCCTGCCCACCTTCCCCACCCACCACCCTTGCCTTCACCAACTGAGAGATGAGGCAGGGTGGTTTACTGGCCTCCTCAGTTTGAGTATGAGCTTGAACCCTGCTCTGGCACTCCTGTAACCTCTCTGAGCCTCAGGCAACTCAAGTAAATAAAATGAAGATAACAAAACTTACACATCCTATTTTACAAGTTATTGTGAGGAACAGGTTTTGTACATCTTAAAGCATTGTAGAAATGAGTTCATATCTCTCCTCCCTCCAGGACTGATCCCTCATGCATCCTTTCTGGATCTCTCTTTTGCATTTATATCACATTCCTCCTTGTATCATTCTTACTCGTGTACGTGTCTTATTATCCTGCCCCTAATTAGATCGTTGGCTTCCTGAAAGCGAGGACTAAGTGCGGTATCTTTGCTTTCTTAACACATAGCACCGTACCTTGAACATCAGAGGTGCTTAATAAATGGCTCACTGGAGTTGTTAATCAGCTTATAGAATTCACTTCCTTATATTAAAAGTACAATTGTTCCCTAGCAAATAAACAGTTTCACAGCTGAAAGAGCTCTGAATTCCCTTCTGTTCCATTTCATGCTGATGAGAGGAAATAAAACTGTTGGAAGTGTTAGTCATCTCACTCTTACAGAAAGCCAACATGGGCTGTTGCCCTTGTAGGAAGGACAGAAATTTTCCTTTCATTACGCAATATGGAGGAAACTAAAGAAACTTCAAGGTTGGGCATACTTCCTTTTCTCCCCAAGCCATGGTCACCCCCACATGGTGTACCTGCAGATGCGTTTCCCTCACCTCCACAATGCGTGAAACCATACAAGGTGTATCCTTTATTACAAGCACACTCAAAGGTGCCAGGATGATTGATGCACGTGTGGTCACAGGTCCTCTCAAAAGAGCATTCGTCAATATCTGTAAATTTTCAAAGAAGGGTTAGCAATGTTTTATTCTAAAGAACTGAACGCACCAGTTAGCTGAACCTTAACTGGGAGCAATGCTCAGCTACCACTTTCCTCTTAGCAACCAGTTCATCCCATCAGAAAGCCTTTGTTACTAATGTCACAAATCAACGTGCATAAAATGATTGCCAATACAATAGCAAAAAGGATTATGCCCTAAATATTATGACTTCTATTATGTAAACATTTTTACAATATCTGCTGATAATAAAAAGTACAATAATATCATTTCTCACTGAATTACAGAATTTTGGAGTTCAAAGGCATCTAAGTCTAAATCTTAACAGAAAAGAAATTTCCTCCACAACATAACTGACAAGGGCTTTGTTTGAAGACCTCTAATAGGGGGGAAATCCCTCCCTCCCAAGTCAGACCATTGCACTTTTAGATGGCCCACATTGTTGGGAAGTCTTCACTGACCTCAAGCCTAAATTTGCCTTTCATCAACCTTCCCTCCAATCAGCAGAGTTCTGCCCTCTAAGTCCAAACAAAGAAAGTTTAATTCCTCATTCTTGACAGACCTTTAACTGCTTGAAAACAGCTAGTTATCCTGTCTCTCTCCAACCTTCTCCTCACCATGTTCAACATTCCTAGTTCCTTCAACCAATTTTCGTGTGGGACAAACGTGAAGCCCTTCACCATGCTAGCTTATATGATTTATATATAATGCTTTGAGAGGTAGCCTATCATGGTGTATGGAGAGACACCCTTGAAGTCAGGTTTAGTCTCTGATCAGGTCAGACTAGTCTCTCTAACGTTTTAAGATTTTAACTCCAACCCTGTCCAAGAATATGTTAATACTATTATCCTCAATAGGTTTCCATAAGAATAGTGTTCACTTAAATCCGAAGATACAACTCTTCTTTCCAGACAGACTTAGTCTTGGTCACATATTCCACACCTGACTCCTTCCTGGTGCCCCCTGCTGTTCTGATCAGACCCCCAGTAGCACCCTCATCCTCATTAAGCAGTGTGTCTGTCTCATCACAGCTTTCCTTCCTGGCCTCATCTCTACATTCCTCCATAGGCCGAGATTTCTGCATACTACTTCCTGGATATTTCAGTGGGTTGCAATAATTTCTTTAAACGGAAACATCAGCATAACAATCCAATTTAAGATCATTCTGCTCACCAAAATCTAATCATTCTGCATTAGTTCATTCTGCTAAAGCCATTTTTCTAAATACGAAGTGTTTCATGAGAAGCTACATTAGTCTTAATCTCAACACACACCTGGGGGAAAGTAGAGCAAAGAAACTGTGGAGGGTAATTAATTCCCAATAGAGATAAAGGCTGGATCTATGATTTCACTGATACAGGCAGATCCCTGGTGAGGAGTCCTTCTCTTCAACTTAAAGCTTTACAGAGCTGTGAAAGCACTGAGAAAACTTTCTCCAGTTCACACAGCCAATAATGTAGCAAGGGCTGAATTTGAATCCAGGTCTTCCTGGTTTCAAGGCCAACTCTCTATTACTATGCAACACTGTTTCAATTTCTACTAAATATTTTAATTGATCACTTCCCACAGAAAATTTGCTAGGTAAATATTTATATGTTTGAAGCTGATTAGCAAAAGATGAAAAACAGCCACTGTTTCTTCCCTGGTAGCTAATGCCATTCTATTAATTTTATAATTCATGTCTATTAGTTGTCTAGGAACTAGCCAACTGACTGACCAGTCTTCCTTTGGCTGCTTGTGCCCCATCCTCAACCCCTAAAATGGTGTCACTTTCCTAATTACTTTTCAATGTGTTTATGAAGCTTAAGCAATATTTATTTTATATGTTCCAAAGGATTATAAAGAACAGCAAATATTCTATCAGGTTAATGAAAACCATGTCATATAGCCACCTAAAACCAAATCCACTTACCAATTTTTTTGAAAAAGGTACACACTGTGCATGAAGGGTTTGGGGGTCTGTTTTGTCAATCTAATGGCATATTGGATTTCTGGCAAAGAAGGCTGCCTGAACTGAGGCAGGTTGCCCAGCTCCTACAAGCCTACTATAACAAAACCCTGAGTCTCAATCAGACTGAATGATGAGAAATTATAGGAAGTGATATCTTGCTTCCTAGAACTGCACAAAATGTTAACCCAGAAGACCACAGGCGACAGAGAAGGACCCCCTTCCACCTCACAAAGCCAGTGCCAGTGCCTCCCAGGGTGATCAGAGGCTATCAGAAAGCCCCTGGGTGGAAAGCAGCATGACATCCAGAGTGGTACAGACCAGAATGGTGTCAGAGAGCTCAGTGCTCAGATTCAGGTGGCCCAGGGACTCTGAGGTCTTGAACTCTCTAAGCTAGGACTCCTGAGAAGGCCCTAAAGATCCATCACTCTGAACCTCAAAGATAAAGGAGGGTTAACCACAGGAAGAATTCAGTGCAAGAAACCAGGGTACTCAAGATAAGACCAAGTAGGGCTAACCACCCTACCCAAAAGCCAAGCAGGAGGCAGAGCCTGGCCTTGGCACAAAGCTCTACTTCAGGAATTAAAGCTGGAGAGAAGAGGAAATTAAAGAGAACAACAAAGAACATAAAAAGATTATTGCATATCTAGCTGTATAACAACTGCAAGCAGATTGAAAAATGAATTTTCCACAAGTACTATATGAATATGTAGAAGAAATAAGGCAGGAGGCTAACAAATGAAATAAAAGCTCTAGAGGAAAGAATTGAAAGAGAATTAAGTAGCTTAGAAAACAAAGTAGTAAAACTTGCCCAAGAAATGGAATCCCTGAAAACTAGAATAGATCAAACAGAAATAACTATATGACAAAGCAAAAAATATTAGAAAAAAAATCAAAATGAAGAAGAAGAAAAAAAATGTACGAATGCAAGATATCTAATAACAAAAATAACTGACCAGGCAAATATGTCAAAGAGAAATAATTTAGGAATTATTGGATTCAGTACCTATACTACACAAATTATTCTACAAAACTGAGAAAGAAAGCACATTACCAGAATAATTTTATAAAACAAACACAGTGCTGATACCCAAACCAGGGAAGGATAAAACACAGAAGGAGAACTATAGACCAATATCATTAATGAATAACAACTCAAAAATTTTAAGCAATATCCCGCCAGACAGATTACAGTGACTTATCCAAGAAATCACTCATTATAAACAAGTTGGACTTACACCAGAGATGCAAGTATGGTTCAACATTAGGAAAACAATCAACATAATTAATCATATTAAAAACAAAAACATCCAAGACCACATAATTATCTCAACAGATGCAGAAAAGTTTTTGACAAAGTACAACACTTGGGCTAGAAAACAAACAAGCAAACAATTTACAAAGAATAAGTACAGAAGGATTCTTTTTAGTATCATAAAGTGCATCTATCTAAGACTAAGCACCACATTCAATAGGGATATACTAGAACCTTTTCCAATAAATAGGGAGTGAAGCAAGGATGCTCTCTCTCCCCACTATTCTTGTATGTAGTTCTGGAAGTGCTACTGATCTAGAGCTAGACATCCTGGAGAATAAAGTGGGTCTTAGGAAGAACTGCTAACAATAAGGTTAGTGGAAGTGACCGAATTCCTGCGGAACTATTTAAAATCAGATGATGTTGTTAAAGGGCTGCACTTGATATGCCAGCAAATTTGGAAAACTCAACAATGGCCACTGGATTGGAAAAGATCAGTTTATGTCCCAATTCTAAAGAAGAACAATACCAAGAAATGTTCAGATTACCAAACATCAGTATTTGAAACATAGATTTGTATCACTATGATGATGAATGGCTTACCTTGGCTTTGAACAAATATCATTCTGTCATTTTTGTATTATTTTCCTTATCCTTTTATTGACTATGAGGGCTACTCCATTTCTTCTAAGGGATTCTTGCCCACAGTAACGTGTGTGCTCATTCCACATGCCAGCAAGGTCATATTTGCTTCCTAAGGCCCACTTGATTTCATTCTCCAGAAATGGCTGGCTCTAGATAAGTAACCACACCATCCTGGTTGTCAGTGACATTAAGCTCTTTCTTGTATAGTTCTTTTTGTGTCTTCTTGCCACTTCTTAATCTCTTCTGCTTCTGTTAAGCCCCTGCCATTTTTGTCTTTTATCACGCCCATCTTTGCATATAACGTTCCCTTACAACCTTTAATTTTCTTGAAGAGATCTCTGTCTTTCCATTCTATTATTTTCTTCTATTTCTTTTGCACTGCCCATTTAAGGAAACCTTGTCTCTCCTTGCTATGCTGTGGAATTCTGCATTCATTTGAGTATATCTTTCCCTTTCTTCTTTCCCTTTCACTTTCCTTCTTTTCTCAACTATTTGTAAAGCCTTATCAAACAGCTATTTTGCTTTCTTGCTCTTCTTTTTCTTTGGAATGTTTTTTGTTCCTGCCTCCTGCACAAGAGTTCTCCTGTCTCCATCCATAGTTCTTCAGGCACTCTGTCTACCAGATCTAATCCCTTAAATCTATTGATCACCTCCATTTCTTACACATAAGAGATGCTATTTAGAGTCATACCTACATGGTCTGATGGTCTTCCCTGCTTTCTTCAATTTATGTTTGAATTTTGCAATAAGAAGCTCGTGATCTGAGCCATAGTCAACTCCAGGTCTTGTTTTAACTGACTGTATAGGGTTTTTTGACCTTTGGCTGCAAAGTATACAACCAATATGATTTCTATATTGACTATCTGGTGATGGCCATGTATAGAGTCACCTTTTGAGCTATTGAAAAAGAGTGTTTGCTATGACCAGTGAGTCATCTTGACACAACTGCCTCTGTTCTGCTTCATTTTTTACTCCAAGGCCAAACTTGTCTGATATTCCAATTATCTTTTGATTTCCTGCTTTAGCATCCCAATCCCTATGATGAATGTGACATCTTTTTTTGGTATTATTTCTAGAAGATGTTGTAGCTCTTCATGGAGCTGATCAACTTTGACCTCTTCAGCATCAGCAGCTGGAGCATAGACTTGTATTACTATGATGATGAATGGCTTGCCTTGGATTTGAACAGATATCACTCTGTCATTTTTGTATTGTTTTCCTTATCCTTTTATTGACTATGAGTCAATACTCATAAAAAGCCTATGTACTATATTTCAATAAATCATAAATGAAAACTGCCCAGATCTATTAGAACCAGAGAGCAAAATAAAGACAGGAAAAAATTCATTTCCTGAAAGGAACATCAAAAGGAAAAGTCCTGGGAATATCATGGCCAAAATTCAAAGCTTTCAGATTAAAGAAACAATATTGCAAATATCTAGACAGAAGCAGTTTAAGAACCAAGAAACTACAGTCAGGATCACACAAGACCTGGCAGCTTCCTAAAAATAAAAGAGGAGATCTAGGAATACAATACTCCAAAACACAAAGAGATAGGCTTATGACCAACAATAACTTACTCTGCAAAGCTGAGTATAATTCTATGGAAGGAAAAATGACCTTTAGCGGAATCGAGGACTTTCAAACATTTTAAACATGAAAAAACCAGTAGTTGAGTAGGAACTTTGAAATACAAACACAAGAAGTCCACAGAAATCTTGAAAGGTCAATTTATTTGAGCAATTAGAAGGACCTATATGATGATGGAGTGCTAACAATCAAATAAAAGAAGAAGAAACAAGTATCCCTTCAGAGCCATAATTAATGAGTTAATTCTTCATTAACTAGAAGCTAAGGGTATACTTGAGACAGCTCCTCTGACAACCAAGAAATGGCTAAACAAATTGTGGTATATAAATGTAATAGAATATTATGGTGCTATAAGAAATGACAAAAGGATTTCAGAGAATCTTGGGCAGAATGAACTGGTGCAGAGTGAAGTGAGCAGAACCAGGAAAACAATTATATGAAGAAAACACTCTAAAGAAAAACAAAGTTGAAAGTCTTAAGAAATCTGATCAAAGCAGTGACCAATCATGTCTCTGGAGGACCTATGATGAAACATGTTACCTTCCTGAGAGAGACGTGATGGATACAAGGAGCAGATAGATTGATAGACAGATAAATAGACAGATAGGTAGATACATACATACATATAGGTGTGTATGTATATATGTATATATACAGAGAGATGCTTATATATAGATATCTATATCTACAGAAACATATAGACTTTATAATATATAAATGTGTATATATAATAAACAGACAATTACAAATATAAACATATGCATATAGACTTTATAACTGCCTCCTAACTGTTCTCCTTGGTTCAAGGAGAACTCCAATCTATCCCTCACACAGCGGCCAAAATAATCTTCCTAATACACAGGTTTGACCATAGAACTATATTAAAAAACCTCAGTGTTTTTCCATTGCTTACAAAATAAAACACAAACTCCTTACGCTGGCATTCAAAAATATCCACAATCTGATCTCAACCTACATTTCCAAACGTATTTGACACTCTTCCCATCAGGCACTGGACATGCCAGACAAACTAAAGGCAACATGGAATAGTGGGATAATGCCCTGGACTTGGTACCAGAAGATACGAATTCAAATCCTGTTTCAGACACTTCCTAGCTGTGTGCCCCTAGGCAGGTCCCTTCACTTCTTTGTGCCCATTTCCTCCTCTGTAAAAGGAGGGACTGGACTTGGGGATGCTAAGCTCCTTACTTCCCCTTCCTCCCTTCTCACCCTCTCCTGTTTTCACACATGCACAACAACTTTCTTCAGGCTGAAGAGCTACCCTGTGAATAAAAGATTAAGTTTGTTCTCCTCTGTCCCAGAGGGACAAAGGCAGGACACACTGGGACAAAATGGCAAAGATACACATTCCCAACAAAATGATGCAAAAGTGGAATTAGATGGGCATGGAGGCCTTCAAGCAGAGGCTGGATGACCCTTGTCAGGCACATGGTCAGGGGGATTCCTGTTCAGGGAGGGGTTTAGCGAGATTGTTTCTGAGGTCCCAGGCCCATGGACTTCGATTGTGAATATTCTGTCCATTCCCCAACGCATAGAATTAATCAATTAACAAGAATATATTAAGAGCTTCCTCCCATATATGCCAGGTGCTCTGCTAAGCCATCAGATACAAAGAAAAAGCAAAAAAAGCCCTTGATCTCAAGGAATTTACAGCTGCATGGGCTAAAATCCTTCTCTTCCTTCTACATTCAGCTCAGGCCTCACCTCATCACAAAACATCTCCTAAACCCCCTAAGAAGTGATTCATCTGGTCTTTCATGCCCCTCTATTCTCTGCTGTACATTTCACATTTTCAAGAAGAACACATTTATTAAGAATTTACTTTGTGTTTCTATTACAGAGTGCTTAAGTGCTTAATAAATGTCTCTTGAACTATGAGAAATGTGTGGGAGAAGACATATATTCATATATTAAAAAATCCTTGAATTTGTATCATAATTATTTGTGCATGTCTTACACCACCTGCTAGACTGTATCTCCACACTGACAGCAGCAACAATGTCTATTATTTCCATCTCTTTCCATCTCCGATGGCATCTAGCACACATAGTAGGTACTTAATAAATCATCACTGAATTGAAACCAGAAGGAAGAACAGCAATGGGGGGGAAAGCTAAAATGTTAATATTATCTTTACGTGAAGTGCAGGCAGAAATATACAGTGTAGCCCATATCTCTAACAGCCAACCAGCTCTCATCACTTAAAATACCACCCATGTGATATAAGTGAATGATGCAAGGAATATATGCTTCCTGAGGGTTTATTCCTATATATGTCCCTTTACAGACATAAAAATAATGCACCCATATGCCTGTCAAAGTTTGCCATTTCCAAACCAGACACAAGGCTCAAATTCAGCTGCTAATCACTGACAGGCACCACCATCTTGCTATCATAAGCTTTTAAGAGGCAGATGCTTCTATGGCAAGGTTTCCTGCTATTTGAGAAAATTCAGTCCATTTTCTTATGTCAGCTACAAAACATGTCCTTGGCAGGATGGCTGAACACCTGCTTATATTTCTCAGACACACTTCACAAGAAGAACTAAGATGATGTCATTTAAAAAGAGGAGGAACCTTATTATGGGGGTTTGACTTAACTTGTTCTAAATTCTCCTTTTCCCCCTAAGAAGAGCAAGTTTTTCAAGGTCTTTGATCATGAACTCTTTGATATGCATAATATACCCATGAGGCATGTCAGCATTTTTGTTCTATTTCACAAAGTGAGATATAATGTAGATAGGTGACTGGTTCAAGGCCATACAGTGAATCAATCTTCAGGCATTCTCAGCACATACCTTGACAAGACTTTTCATCTGTTAATAATTTAAATCCTTTCTTGCAACTGCAATCAAAACTGCCAACAGTGTTTCTGCAGAAGTGATCGCAGCCTCCATTACCAGTCTGACATTCATCAATATCTGCAACAGGCAAATATGACTGAAAATGAGTACGTCGATTGATTTTCCCTACTGACCCCCAAGGTGCTTGCAAATGCTCTATAATTCCCAACAAGAGTTCACTAAAGAGTTTTCAAGGAGGTTCTACTTGCCGCTGGTTTTTCTGCTTTAAAATGGGCACACTCATTATTTCCCCACTTACCACTTTATTAAAGGTAATAATCTTCATCTTTTTAGAATATATTTAGAACTCTTACATTACTCTTCCCTAGCCACAGGAAATAAAGCTGTGGGAAAGAAGTATGAAGTTTTCTTGCATACTTCTCCATTCATGGCTCAGTTTCTTTCAGTATAGTCTCTAGTCCTATTTTAATCATTAAAACTTTTTAAGGAGCTCAAACACTTGCTATAAAACTGAAACAACAGCAAAATACTCAATTTTTAAAAAAAGTTTCCTGATACTCAAAATAATTTTACATTTTTTCAATTGATACAGTTGATAACAGATAATTGAAACAGATGACTAGCTATCTCTTTTTAACATGCTAAGTAACCAGTCCTTTGTACTTATGCCCATAAAATAACAAGAAGCCATTGAGATTCCCTTGATCAGTGAGAATTAATGGGTTAATTCTTCATTAATTTACTCTGGATAATTATCTGGGTTGTTACTTATAATATGCTGATATTATCTCTTCAAAATGGCTATTTCCTTGATCTTCTGCCTTTTTTTCTAATAAGGTTATAGCCTGAAATGAATTATTTGATGTTCCTAAAGGCTGACCTTCCCAACAGCTAACAGAATTAAATTGGTTTTAATTAAGCTTGCTCAATCACAAGTTTTCACTGGCCCAAATAAGAAAATCTGCTATTGATATGAGTCATAATCAAATCTGAAGATATTCAGGAGGTGGCAACGACGGATGTAGATGGAAAAGAACTGTCTTCATTGTGTCCTGTTGGTACAGCAGGGCTTATTCTTAGACCTGGACACACATCTCCTCTATGGAAAGGGAATCTACCTTTACATGTCTTCCCATCAAACTGGAGGGTGAATCCCACAGGGCAACTGCAGTGAACACCAGTAGATGTGTCCTTACATGTTCGGTCACAGCCTCCATTGTTTACAGCACATGTTTCTGATAATAAAAAAAAAAAGGAAATGAAAAAACTGTTTGCTTTTCTGAGAAGCAATAATACAGCTAGAAAGAAAGTACTGCAGGGTCTCAATGCTCCTATGTGACTGAAAGCCCAAGAAAGCATATGCCAAAAGCACAATGTGGTACACACTGATGGAGTCCATGTCATTGCCACCTGCTGTTGGGACTTCTGGGATCCAGTGCAGCCCACGGCAATGGGGGAAGTGCCTGCTTTATCCCTGGAGGGCTGTATCTTCTTAAAACAGTGAAGGGTTGGAGGGGTGGAAGAAGGCAGCATACGCTAATGGTAAGAGTACTGGGCCTGGGGCTGGAGCAGAATCTGACCATCTGCTTTGTTGCTGGCCACTTCTCTCCCCCAAGAACACTGACCCTCCAGAGACCATGCTTCCTAACCCCAGACAGAAGTGAATCTCTGCTTTGATTGCCTGGCCTAGGGCCTGATGCACAGTAGGCCCTTAATAAGCGTTTACTGGCTGATCGGTGGGTCAGTGAATGAGAACTTGCCTCAGCCCACTCTAACTAGAGGGCCCAGAGCATGCTTCCCCTTATCCAGCCAGCCACTCATTCTAGAGGACATCCTGTCACCTTCTCCCTGCACAGGTCAAAGGCCCAGTAGTTCGAGGATATCCTGGATTTGAATCCTGGCTGTACTACTCACTGGGTGAGCTACAGTAAAGCACGACCTCTCTGCATCTCATTTTCCTCATCTGTAAAATGACAAAGATGTTCTAGAAGACCTCTGAGGTCACTTCTAAATCACAATCAGTGATCTTGTGACCTATTGATCCATAATAGGTCACTTTACTTCTCAGGGCCTTAACTTACTCCTCTGTAAAATGGGGGCAACCATCTTTGCCTGACCTACCTAATAGTGCTATTGTAAGAAAAGGTCTTTGTAAGCCTTATAATGCTACAGAAATGGAAGTTACTCTTACTGATCGATATCTAGCTTCCTGTATCCCAGGAAGAGAAGTACCACAAAGCTGGACAAAGAATACTAGGCTTAAGGACAAGAGAACTAGAGTCTAGTCCAGACTCTGCCACTGACTAAGCTGTCTGACCATGGGCAAATTATTCCCCCTGCTTGGCATCCATCATGACTGATAATCTATTATGGTGATCCATTGTGAGCAATTATGAACTGTGTAAAATTCAGTTAGAAATCACAAATGCCAGGTTGCCACAGGCTGCTAAATATGAAATCAGCTGCTCTGCTGAAATAACCCTAAGAAGGCTTCAAAGACTCATCCTGAATGCTCTACAGACTGTTCTGGCTCTCCTTTTTGCCAGAAAAATTATCATTTGAGTAGTAAATTTCTATTCCCATAGCTTTGGGGGCTATTCTATACCTAATCCTCAAACTGTTCATGCCTAAACTTCCTATATAAGAGAGACAGTAGACTGGGAAAAAAATAAAAATAATTAAATGAAGGGCAATCAAATGAATCCCAGACCCTCAGAGCTATAAGAGGCCTTAGAGACCATCTAGTCCTAGGATCACAGACTTGGAGCTTTTAGGCCATAGAAACTTAGAAGAGATGACCTCGGAGCGAGCTTTTCTTTTTACACAAGACAAAGTGGAGGCCCAGAGGGGAAAGGAGGTCTCCAGGCACAGAGGTGGTACGTGTTTGCAATAGGCACTCTGTCTGACCTCATCACAGCCCATGCGGCCTCCTCAGCCACCACCAAAATGTGAATCCCCTCTATAAAATCTCTAGCAAGGACCTGGTCAGACAGGCCCCACCCAAAGGTCTCCCCAAGGCAGCATGGTCACACTTTTCAACAGTTCAAATAGTTTAGAAATTAGTCCCTAGACTGAAGTACAATCAGCTTTGCAGAAATTTCCTCCAGAGCCAAGCAGAAAATGAATCCTTCTTCCAAATGATGCCTCAAAAAGAAGCACTCAACTCACTCACTCTCTCTCTCTCTCTCTCTCTCTCTCTCTCTCTCTCTCTCTCTCTCTCTCTCTCTCTCTCTCTCTCTCTCTCTTCTCCTCTCATTAAATACTGAACATAATAATAGACCAGGGTGCTGTAGCCACCCATTCAACAGACATTTATTGAGCAAGGCCCTATGTGCAATGTGCTACAAGGCATACAAAGATGAATGTCAAGAGTTTCTGCCCTCAAGAAAGGTATGGTCTAGGAAGAGGACAAAGAATATACAAACAAAAAAAAACAAACCCGTAATTAAAGGCAATGTAAAGTCTGATACTCCCTAGTCCAACAGCAGTGACCTATTATGTTGCTACCGTTAGACTGAGAAAAGGACGATGAGGTCTACATGGAAGGCATGGGCCTGTCTGCCCTACAATGATGTAAGTAATGAGAGGTTGTTGATCTTACCCATAAGTAGTCTCCGTTTTACTCTTTTGTCGACCTCAGCTACTGATGATGGAACATTGTTCTCCATTAGCTGTAGGGTAGACTCCTCTTTCTCTATAAGAGAAACAAACAATAAAAACAGAAGAGTCAAGAGAGTATTCCTATCCCTAAGATGTGGGGTTTTTTTGTCCTGTTGACCTCTCTGGTAGTCTGACGAAGTTTATGGACTCCTCAAAATAATGTTCATGCATTAAAATAAAACACACAGGATTACAAAGAAAGCCAATTATATTGAAATATAGTTATCAAAATATTTTTTAAAAAATCACAGACCCACAGAAATCTATCCACAGATGCCCTGGAGGTCCACTGACTCCAAGTTAAGAACTTTTCCCCTAGGGAAACCTTTGTCACCATTGACTTCTTCTGAAATCTTAAATATGCTTTAAAACTATGAACTATATGATCATCTTATTTCACTGGAGATGTGAAATAACACCTCCTAGTTGTCAACTTATCCTTATACCATTGTGAAAGAAAACAACACATGAAAATAGCAATATATCCATTGTAAAAAAGGTTATGAAAGGGGCAGCTAGGTGGCGCACTGGCCATGGAGTTAAGAGGACCTGAGTTCAAATGCAGTCTCAGAGCAGATACTTGACACTTACTAGCCGTGTGACCCTGTGCAAATCACTTAACCCCAATTACTTCGCCAAAAAACAAAAACAACAAAAACAGGTATGAAAGATTTTTCAATAGCAATTTTTACAAGTTTAACACATTCTATTCTGGAGTATCAGTAGCAAATGTCTTCCCTCTTCCAGGATGAGAAAAAAGTTCCAAGGTGTGAAAAAAATCACTGAAGAGAAACTAGGTAGTACAATATATAGAGTCTGGGACCTGGAGTCAGGAAGACCCAGGTTCAAAACCCGCCTCTGACACTTATTAGCAATGTGACCATGGGCAAGTCACTAAACTCAGTTTTTTCATCTATCAGCTAGTAGCAGGAATGCCTGTAATACCGACCTCACAGAGCTCTCTGAAGTACAAATGAGATAACACATACAAAGCAGCACTTTGTACAGCTGAAGGCACTATACATGCTATTATCATGCTTCTATTAATATAGCCTATATCTAAAGAACGTCACCGTGACTAGAGCCAAAAACCAAAGGGCGATCTTAACAGCAGAAGTGCAGAGAGGACTGTTGGTCATACCACACCCACATCCACAAACAGCCTTTGTCATCAGTAGTATTCTTTTCTGATACGACAGATGCCAGTCTGTATACTGACCCAGGCAGGACCTCCCATCTGGGTGTACCCTGTACTTTGGGTGGCAACTACACTCAGGTCCTTCATCTGTTTCATCACATATATGCTGACATCTGCCATTTCCATGATCATATGTCACTGAAAAGAAAATAGACGGATCGGTAACATGCCAAAACGCCAGTGTGATGCCATGGGGAGAGACCTGGGCTCTCCACCCCACTCTTCCACCTCCCGCTTATATACCTTTGGGTAAATAATCTAATCTCTGGGCTTCAGTTAAGGTAGTTTGCAAACTACCATAACTGCTTCAAGGCTGATTGCTAGATCAGATGCCTGGAGATCCTTCTGACTTTGAGACCCACGAAATCGCCACGGCCAAAGCAATGAATGAACGCCAAGGGATACCATCAAGGTTCAGTGACATGCAAATGCAAGTTCAGCAACTTCTGACGCTGGCCCAAAGAAGAGAGTGGAGCAGCTTCCACAAAGTGCTGTGGAGGACCTAACACTGTGTGACCTTGTGAGAATCATTGCTGTGTAGCTCTTTGAGGTTCTCTGTGCCTGGGATTGTGGCAGCACGCCCACTGCCTAACACAACATTTCCACAGCTGGGTCATGTCCCCACAAAAAGGTCTCCCTTACGTCTCTTCCTAGCTCTCTCTCCTTTCTGCATGGATAATCGGTTCTGCAGGCGGCAATGCAATGAGCCAGACTGGGGGAAAAAAAAAACCACCCAGAGTTTCTTGTGGTCCTGGCCTGCAGGGTTTCTGTTAACTGCTGATTGCTGGCTTCACAGCTCTGCTGTCCTTAATAAGATGAGAGAGACTTTACTAATAGCTGATGCACATATGGATAAATCTCATTTGTGCATCAGCTCTTCTTTCCTCCTAATACAAACACATAAACTGATGAGAAATTGCTGCTATTCAAAAGAAACAAATTACACTTTAAATTGTGGCAGGAGGGACACAAGAGCCTCGCTGTAATGGGACACGGTTCCAAAATGAAAGGGCTTCCCATTATTTATGTGTTTTCCTGAACTAAGGAGAAGTTACAACACAAGGATTCGGACTATTTCGTTTCTACACACCACCTTGTGGCATTTGGGCCCGCCTCGCTGTTAATTAGAAGCTCTTCCAGACCCAGCTACTTACCATGTGGCAAAGGAGTCAGTTTTACAAAAAAGGATTCAGTTGTGTCTATTATTCTGGGGTTTCCAGAACTTTGACACTTTGCATCCTCAGACTGCTATCTAAGACTGCCTTCTTGCATTGAATTGGCGAATGGGGAGGGTTCAGGCACCTTCTGTGCCTGCCTAAGCTACAGCAATGAGGCCAGCCAAGAAAAAAAAACCATCATGACTGATTATCGTCTCATCCAGCTAACTGGTATGAAGAGGGAAGTAGTCTTCTCTCCTTGAAGTAAAGCATAGTATTTAGATTACAGTATGCACATTATTTGTTTGCTACATATCTACTTTGTGAGCTTCGTTAGTATAGCATTCCCACAAGTGGCTGTGACTTAGTTCTATTCAAGAAAATCTACTGCATCAATAAGTTTTCAGTTTTTTCAGAAGGGGGCTTTGACCAATTTTCAGTATTACTTTATGTTACTGGGAATGAAAAAGGAAATAATTCATCGGCTCATATTTCTCTAGCTAAGTTTTTTTTTCTTAATTGTCAATCCTCTTTTTCTTAAAAAAAAAAAATTCTGTACTCCGTGTGAGGGGGCAGAGCAAGGGATACAGGAGGAAATCGAGGTGATATAAAAATAAAAGATATCAATAAAAATCCATTTTTTAAAATCATCAAAACCTGCTTCTTCTAAACAGTCCAGAGTGGTTCAAATCAATTGTTTTATTTTGATTTGGTTTGAAGGGAAGAATGATCAAGGGACATGCTGTGAGAGGCTGGCATTCATGTCAAAGTAACATATCACTTGCACACACAACACATATAATTAAAACAACATTAACCTTTCTAGCCCTCTCCCACCAGCAGCTGTTTTAAATTCACTCTCTTTCTATTCCAATGCCCAAACTCTTTAGGTCTTCAATTTCTTCTAGCCTCGTGGAGCCCCTGGAATTTTTCATTCTCTCTGAAGAACTCTTCAGAAATCCAAGTTAAATCATTGCTACTGTTACAGAACTTTTCTTCTAAACTAATACCTAAAAGAAAGGAGGGGGAAATTACATTTAAAAACTGCACATTTAACTCTGAGCCTGTCAGCCAGGCTTTACAGTGCTATAGAGGAGAAGAATCTGCCTGCCTGCAATTCCTCCTGATTTTGAAAACTCCAAATTTACATTTTATAAATGTAATGTACATTTATAATACACATGAAGATTACAAATGCACATATCTGACAAGTTAATGGGTTTTAGCAATTACCCAGCACATTTGTCCTTCTTGAAGTGCAGCTTAATTTTTAATTTTTGTTATTGCTAATGACAATAAAACTTCATTCTTCAAATATTCATGATTTCACTGCTATCAGATTCACCAATCAGATATCAACCCCTCTATACCTTCATAGATGTTTTCCAGAGTGCCAGGGCCAAAACTTTTATAATCCCATGGCCATTTTACAACCATGTGGCTCATAACCTGGTCATGAGCCCCTTAGAACTTAGCTAAGTTTACAACTTAGCTAATTTCCTGTTTGTTATTTAGTCGTTTCAGTTGTGTTCGGCTTTTTGTGACCCCATTCGGGGTTTTCTTGGCAAAGATACTGGGGTGGTTTGCCATTTCCTTCTCCAGTTCATTTTACAGATTAGGAAACTGAGCCAAATCAGATTAAGTGACTTACCCGGGGTCACACAACTAGTAAGTGTCTGAGGTGGGATTTGAACTCAGGTCTTCCAGACTCCAGGCTCAGCACTCCATCCACTGCATGCTATCCACCACAGGCATTCAATCTGTCACCAGGCCCATACTCAAAAGCTTTCCAGGAAGAAGCCATGCTCAAAAAGCTAATATTAACAATAACTGGTAATAAAAACTCATCTCTATGTAAGGCTTACCAAGGCAGGCTGGCTACATCTCCACTAACACTCAGAGAAGCACAAGGTTTTCTGTCTTACATCCAATGCTCCTTCTACTATACTAGCAGTCTTACATAAAGATCGACTTAAAATCCTACAGCACTTTATAGACTTACAAAGCATTTTTCTCACAATGATACCATGAGGAAGCTAGTGCAAATATCATTCTCCTCCTCTTACACACAAGGAAACGGAATCTCAGAGGAGGTCAGGCTCTTTGTCCATGACTATCAGATTAGCACTGGAGCTGGGGCTCAAAGCCCTGCCTTCTGATACAGCTTCCAGTGACAAGGTCATAAGCTCCCCATGTATTAAGCATCAGGACCTCCTAGCTTTAGTGTCTAGCACAGCACTGACAATGATTATTAGGAAAGATCTGATCATCTCTCAGATGAGAAATAAATCTGCCTTTGTCTCCAAGTGTAAACTATTCACACATAACTCTCCCCCTACAAATCTGTACGTAGTTTACAATAATCTACTCTTGTTAAAGTTCCTACTAAAGGGATTGTAGAACCCTTTCTAAAAAAAAAAAGTTGAATAACATAAATGAGCTTTTTTTACTGCCACAATTATTTTTCTAAGATCTCGCTAAGTGATGAATAAACCTGTATTTCCACGCATTTAGAACATGTAGGTTCTCAAAAGCTATGCCAAAAGAGCATTTCAAGCTCTGGCAGGTCCTACCAAGCCTGAAAGGCTCAGCAATGGATAAGAGGACCAGCTAAATTCTGACAGATTTATCACTAGAAGGTTGGCCATCAAGAGATTGTTTCTTGTCTGAGGAGCTCAT